ACCTTCACGTTCAGTTGAACAGGCTCTAGGTTTCCTTCGACAAACTTCTTAACATTCTTGTCGGTCAAAAAAGCATCGAGAACTTCAGCTGCGACACGATTCTCCTGACTCTGAATGACTGAAAGTACCGCTTTTGCAAGACGATCATTATTCACATCTTCTGCGTTGAACAACAATCCGATGCGCATATTCGGATCCCCAGCCTGACATTAATTCAAGAAAAGGATACAGATTACAGTCAGATGAGCAGAAAATGTGGAAAACTTACAATATGAGAAGCAGCAGCCCGAACAATCCCTAGCCCTTGCCGATTATTGACATCAACCGCCAACCAAACCGTAACGGGTTTGGTGCCCATCGACCCAGACTTCGACGAGAAATACGGAAAATTCGAGAACACTTTCTGAGTCAAATCGTCGTCCTTGGGATCACTGAACAAGCTGGATGCATCAACGTATTTGACTTCGTCATTATCTCCGGTCAGAATGCGATTATTCAGCCTCGGCATGACATTCGGCTGCCGCATGAGGAAATCCAAGACATTGTCCGAGTCGGTCAGGGACCCATCATACACAGCTTGTTGCAACACGTTCATTTGAGACGACAAAGCCATGATGGCTCCTTCCTCAAAGCCATCAGCATTTAAATGCTTCTGCTCCAATGGAATCCCGTTCATCAGTACTTGGGGCAAACGCTCGAGTCCTGTCCTTGAAATGAAGTCTCTGGCTAATTGGCGACCATAATCGTAAGTCGAATCCGCGCCGAATATCTCGTCGAGGTTATCTTTCGGACGAAGCCTTTTCATCACTTCGCGGACTATCTCAGGAGTCACCGGATCTGCACCTGCTTTGGCATACACCTGAAGAAAAATCAGAATACATGACTCATTACCAAAATAATCATAGCGACCGAATACCGAGTTCCGGAAAGAAATGCGGTAATGGAGAACTTCGTATTGGGCGAAACATTCCACGCTAATTTATTCCGAGGAAAAGATCTGAAATCCACCAGGTCTCTACTAATTTATTCGTAATAGTCTCAAAATACCAGCACGGTATCCTGTAAATAGATAACTCTTTAAACGAATATATTTTTTTTACAATTTATTCGAGTCATACTTTAAATGACAATATATCTATCCATTAGCTCGATCGTCCCCACGCACGTTTCCAGAAATAATTTTTGCACAGTTTTGAAATTTATTGCTGCATCATGTGCCATTTACGCAGAGCGAATTTCACGAAAAAATTACCATATTCCAATAATAATTATTCCAAGTCTACCCAGATCCTTTTCAAAAATATGTGCAATGAACATACGGCTTTACTGTTGATTAATTTGTCAACGCTTTGGAACCCCGGATGATTGGTTTGAAACAAAAAAGAAAAGGTTATATTACAGCAGAATAATAAGCAGGATGACAGCAGGAGTGAGCCCTTTATACACAAGTTTTCAGATTTGTTGCTTAAACTTCATTCTTCTATTCCATCTCTACATCGCATATTGAAGACAAGTCCAGAAATGTCGCAAAGACGCAATAAAAATGTGAAGTAGAGTCGCACCCGACGAATGCTGACTA